TAAGGAAGTGTCTCCTGGAGGGATTACATCTCACAGTTTTGGAAAGCATCAAGTCTGAATTCGAGATAGGTTATATACCTTAAGCATTAATGGACTAGAACTGTTAATATCCTAGGTACTGACTTAATGTGCCACACTGACTGTAAATAGCATCATTTATTGAACTGATTTAGCAACAGTGCTGTATGCTATAGTACACATCATTTAGAAGGTGATCAGGTTCTGGACCAAACAGAGCCACCACCAGAATACATTATGAAAAAAAGCTTGGTCTCTCAGGAAAGAAGCCAACTGCTCATTACTCTTGGAAGAGCTCCAGGTGAACTCTTACAAAGCTATACAGACATGGTTGCCACATCTGAAAGGATCCTTAATGTAAATCAGTTTTCTGTCACTGCAGGTGGATCCTGATAAAAAGCAATACGCCAAAGCTATGTACTGGAATTATACATGGAAAAGAAGCAGTAATAATGGGCGAGATCTTTTGCTGATGTGAAATGGTGTTAATGAGACAAAGAGGGGACTGCAAAGTTTGTGCTGAGGGGAAATCTAAAAATGAGTTAGTATGTTATATTAGAAGACAGCCACCAACAATCTTTCTAGGAAAATATATAGGAGAGGAAAAGGGATGTGTGTCCAGCCAGAAGGCAGGCAAGTCAAAGATCAGTCACTGTATGTGCCAAATTCTTCTGACAAACTAACAGACGGCATAGCAAATCATCATGTAATGCTGTGTAATTTAATAGAAAGCACTAATTTTTTTTAAAAAAACACATCTATCCCAGAATATTTGATTCTTATAACTGGTAAAGATACACACACAAAAATTTTAAATAGTGTTCAAATAAATTGCAACAAATATAACACATGGAAAGTGCAAAACAACAAAAAAGATGTTTAGAAATATTGACTCGCATTATTACTTATTTTGGAGTGTCACCATCTGTCCACAGAGTAGCACGTCTGGCACTCTGCATAATGCAGTGGCACAGTCACTGATTACAAATTTGTCCAATGTTCCCTGGATCATTGCATTATCCACAACATTATTAACCAGCTTTTCAATCCAAGGGAGGAGGTTAAAATCATTGAAGCCCCTGTACAAAAGGCCATTTGTCAAATTTTTCATCACACCCTTCATTTGGGTAAGGGATGGGATAGTTACATTGCCATTCAGAGTTCTCTTCTGCACCATTTTGGGGGTTCACTTCAAATCGGTTTCTAATCTCAGTCCCAGTGTCCTCATCAGAGACAGGTTGTATAACAAAAGCACTGTCATCGATGCCTATCCATTCTTCAAATTTGTGTGCAATGAATTCTCGTGGTGGCTCAATAACAATTGCTTCCTTTGTGGGTTAAATGACCTGACATCCCTTTTCCCAACAGTTCTAAATTGTTGAAGCTTTGACATCAAACCAGGCATTTTCACGCATTTGAATGGCATCTAAAAAATTGATCTTTGTGGCAATTTCCATAGCGGTAGCCCTGTTGTTCTTATCAGTGTGATGCAACACCATGTGAGCCATTGGATTATGAAAGTATACTTTGGCAGTGCTGATAATTTCCTAATCACACAACTGAAAGATAGAAATTTGTGTTTTTTGGGAGGAATTCAAGTGAGATATTTCTCAGTGCTACATATTTTGTGATGCGGTCTGTACAGTTTGGGAGGTCATGCTCTCTTTCTTCCACAATGACAACAGTGCCACATGAAGAATGGGTGGAATTTGAGAAGTCAGGGAGGTTTCTGGCTAAGTTCTCTACCTTTGTTCATTTTTGTTCAGTTCATATAGTTTTGTATATAGTAAATGCAATAACAAAGTTGTTTTTGAGGTTAATGGTACAGGCTAAATTCTAGGAGGTCCACAGAAATTACTCAAAATCTATGAAAAATCAACAAGGAGTCTGACAAAGTAGTTTTACCCATAAAAGCTTATGCCCAGATAAATCTGTTAGGCTGTGTCTACACTGTACCCCTTTTCTGGAAAAGGGATGCAGATTAGACACATCGTTATTGCAAATGAAGCGGGGATTTAAATATCCCCAACTTCATTTGTATAGGCTTGGGGCTTTGCCGGAGAAAAGCGCCAGTCTAGACGGGATCTTTCGGAAAATAAAGCCCTTTCCGAAAGATCCCTTATTCCTAATTTTAAGAGGAATAAGGGATCTTTCGTAAAAGGCTTTATTTTCTGAAAGATCCCCGTCTAGACTGGCGCTTTTTTCCGGCAAAGCTCCGAACCAGAAAAAAACGGCAGCCATGTTTATGCAAATCAAGCCGGGGATATTTAAATCCCCGCTTCATTTGCAATAACGATGTGTCTAATCTGCATCCCTTTTCCGTAAAAGGGGTGCAGTGTAGACACAGCCTTAGTCTTTCAGGCAGTGGTCTGCAACCTTTTTAACCACAAGATCACTTTTTCAATTTAAATGCAATGTAAGATCTACCTCAAACCCAAATACCCTTGCCCCACTTCCTTACTGCCCCTTCTTTGAGTCCCTGCCCCTGCTCCATTCCCATCTCTGAAGCTTTACCTTGCTCACTCTATCTCCCTTCCTCCCCCATCCTCACTCACTTTCACCAAGCTGGGGTAGGGGGTTGGTGTGCGGCTGCAGACTCTGGTCTTGGGCCAAGGAGTTTGGAGTGTGGGAGGGGATCCGGGTTTAGCCCATTGTGGGGAATGGGGGTCCAGGAGGGGCTTCAGGGTGCAAACTCCTGGAAGGAGTCTAGGTGCAGGGGGACTCATGTCTGGGGCAGGAAGTTGGGTGTAGGAGGAGGTTCAGGGCTAGGACAGAGGTTCAGGAAGCAGGTTTTGGCCAGGCACCATTTAACTGAGATGGGTGGTGGAGCAGTGGAGTTCAGGCAGGTTTACTCCTGCCCTTGCCCTGCACCACTCCTGAAAGCAGCTGGCATGTACAACAATGGCTCCATGGCCACGGTCCCCCTTTATTCATCAATGGGAGCTGCAGGAGCAGTGTCTGCAGGAAAGGACAGCATGTGGAAAGACCTGCTCTGCCTTCCTCAGGGGCTGCAGGGACATGCCAGCCTCATCCAGGAGCAGCAATTACCACAGGAATAATTACTCCAGCCATGACAGGCTAAGCATTTTAGAACTCAGTACTCAAAGAATTAAATGTAAGTGTAAGAGAGAAATGAAAATTATGAACTGCACAGACCATTCAAAACCCAAAATAACACACTTTGCAAGAAGTAAAAGAAGTAACAACAACCCTGCCACCCCGCCATGTATGTTTTGGGGTGAGAAATGAGAGTGAAGGGCAGAGTGTGCTTGTGAGACTGACAGACACATACACGGGCTATGTCTAGATTGGCATGATTTTGCGGAAATACTTTTAATGGAAAAGTTTTTCCGTTAAAAGTATTTCCGCAAAAGCGCGTCTAGATTGGCACGGATGCTTTTGCAGAAAAGCATCCGGGGCCAGTCTAGACGCGATTTTGCGCAAGAAAGCCCCGCTTGCCATTTTAGCCATCGAGGCTTTTTTGCGCAAAACAGTTCTTCCCTGTCTACACCGGCCCTCTTGCGCAAATTCAAGCGGCCAGTGTAGACAGCTGGCAAGTTTTTGTGCAAAATCTTGCCAGTCTAGATGCATCCACATTGTGTGGGAGTGACAGAGATTTGCATTGCCAAGCTCCCTCCATCCCCTTCTCTCTGGGTGGAGATAGGGTACAGAAGTGTGTGTGGGGCGGGGGGGGGGAGAAGGGACACCCTGACATCAGTATCCCCACTCTTCTTCCTGCCACATCCTGCACAGGAGGTTCCCAAGGCAGAGATCAGAGCAGCATGACAGTGGGTGGAGGGGCAACTGAAGTGCCAGTGCTTGATAGCTTCCTGGCCAAACCAGTCAGGATCACTTGTCAAAGGCTCCAAGATCTTCCTGTAGATCTGGATCTACAGGTGACCACTGCTTTGAGGTGACATAGGACTCCTTGTTATTTTAATAGAGACTGACTTACACAGCTATCTTTCTGAGACATACTTCCAAATCTATGGAAAGTAATAGAGTGTGGTATGCCAGCTGCAGAATTCTATAGTTTGGATAAAACCCCTGTATCTAGGATTTCATCCTCTAGTTGTTTCTATAGGACAGTGGTTCCCAAACTTTTTAGCATCATGCCCCCCTTTTTGATTTTTAAAAACACTCATGGTCCCCCCCCCCAAATAGCAGCAAATTGTTGAGCAAGAAAGAAAGAAAATAACTGATTGGGGCAGCAAAACTTAATACGGGAGGGGGAGCCGGGGTGCCTCACACCCTCCCCCTAGAATTTCTTCATGCCCCCCAAGGGGCACATCCCCCTGTTTGGGAACCCATGCTAAAGGACAGTTTGATGGTGATATAACACAGTATGATTTGAAGATTTAGGGATGGGTCCAAATGAAAAGCCCTGATCTGAACCTTGAAGTTGGAATGGTTTGAAAAAGAGATGGTTACCTAGGGCTGGGATGTGTGGTGGCTCAGGAGCCATTCAAATGCTGCCCAGCTGATTAGCAGAGCACCCACAGCTAGGTTTTGTTCCTAGTGGTGGTGTACATCACACACACCTCAGCGCCCATAACATTTATTCTGCCCATGGATTGAACAAATGTGCAGGTGGATGGCAAAGATTAGAGGGGACATTGGTTCAGGCCCTCCTCTCTTAGCAAGGTGGAGGTGGCTTACGGGGAAAACCCCATATTGTTTCCATCACCAGTCTGCTAGCCTAGGAAACCTGTTGGGCCAGGATCCATGCCCCAAATGCAAGAAAAATCCAGCCCCAGTCTTGAATTGCTGGCGCCTACTCCCTCTTGCCCGGTGCATCTCGCCAGGTACCAGTAGCTAGTTACTCAGGAGTCAAATGAGACCCTCCCTCCCCCTCGCTGCACTGTCAGCAAGTAGGGAACGAAAGGGACGTGCCGGTGCCAGACTTTCCTGGCAAAGCGGCCAGGGGCGTATGCAAATGGAGCCCGCAGGCCGGCTTCCCGCCTGCCCCTCGGGAAGGCGGAGGGGCTGCTGCTGCTGAGTCCGCCGTTTTGCAGCGCCCCGGGGCCATAAAAGCGGCAGCGTCGCGCGCGGGGCGGTTCACTCTGGAGGGGGCTGGCGGCAGCGGCAGAAATCAATAGCCCGGGGGCTGGTTTTTTCCCCGGCACAGCCGCTCGGGCTGCCTATATAACCAGCAGCACCCCCAGCCCTCGCGGCAGCCGCAGCCTCCCCCCCCCGGAGAGCGGCGCGGGCGGGGCGGGAGAGCCGAGGGGGCGGTGCGGGCAGCAGGGGGCAGCGCGACTCTCCGGCCGAGGGCCATGTGCGGAGCGGCCGCGGCTTGGGAGCGGCAGGGAGCGCGGCGGCTGCTGTGAGCGCTGGCGGGGCGGCGAGGAACTTGCAGGTGCAGCAGCCGGTGCCTGGTGCCGTCTTTGTTCTGCGTGGGGACTCGCCCGCCGCGATGAGCGCCTCTCCCTCCTCCAGACTCCTCCCCCTGCTGCTGGGCGCCGCGATGCTGTGGGGGCCCAGCTGCCTCTCCCTGCGAGTCCTCAGCGGTGAGTGAGCGGGACGGGACAGGGCGGGCGGGCGAGCGTGGGGAGCTTCCCTCCAGGCGTGCGCGGGGACTGGCACTGCCTGCGCAGCTGCAGCCGCCTAGGGCTACATCCTCCAGCCCTGACCCAGAGCGCACGCTGACCGCGGGAGCTGCTGCTGGAAACATGGCCAGGGGAAGGGAGGCGGGGAAAGGCAGCGTTTGGTGAAGGCGGGGAGAGCTTTCCTCACTCTGGCCCAACTTCCACGCGAGTTTTGGCGGACGCTGGGCTGGAGGAGTTTGCCTCCCAGCTCAGCTTAGAAGAAAGACCCACATCCATGCCGTGCTGCGAACCCGTTTCTTCCCCTCTTACCTCACCTTTCTACCTGCCCAGCATCGCAGGTGCCAAAGTTGGAAGAGACAATCTGTTTAGGGATAAATCCTGAAGTTCTTCTTCTCCTCTTGTATAAAACTGCTCCTTGAAGTCCGAGCTATGCCTGAGGAAAGACCTCAGGGTTTGGCCCTTGACATTTATATTGGCATTTGCTCACAGCAGAGCTAGAGAGCCTCTCCTGGGCTTACAAAAAATCAGAACATGCTGTTAATTTAGTTTATAGGACATGGACCCATCACAAATAACTGTGGTGGCAATTCACACACACACAGCCTGACTAATATGAAATAGTTTTAAAAACGAAATGGCGTTTGACTATTTATTCTGCTGTTCTCTCCCCTTTCCATTCCATTAATTTTGATCTGTGAAAATAAGCTAGTCAGGTTCACATTTGTTTACTGTTGTCTTCTAGTCAATTTCACACAAACGTTCCCATGCAGTGGCAATTGCTGCGTTTTGGATTTCAAGTAGCAGTCATAAAATAAATTTTCCTCTTATTAAAATATTGTTTAACCATCCTCTGTAAAATTAAGACAATATGATAACAACAGTGAAGTTGTTTTTTAAGGTACTGATATCATCTGTGAGTTAACTTCCTTTGCTGGCTGCAAACACATAGGCCCTTTTTATAAAAAAGAAACTGATCATACTTGAGGGGTTGATTCTTAAAAGACTGAAATCTGGAACATTTTCTTTTAAATAATGCTGAAGGTTTAGCTTTTATATACACATACAGATATAGATGAGAGTGAATATGTGAATTTCGGGATTGATTTTAGTTTTCCTATAAACTTGAGAAAGTCAGACTGAAAGTGCTCATTAAAGTTAGATGTATTGTAGCCAATCACGTATGCAGTTTTCCCCCGCAGAAGTCTAAAATTCATCTCATATCCACCTGCTGTGCAGCTATTGAGAAGAGGCTGTTGGTTGTAGCTGTCATTTTTGGTAATCTGTCTAACTCATTACACTCAAAAGTAGATTCTAGATCTTCAGAATTGAAAAGCTAGGTCAGCAAATCACTATGACATATTAAGATCTTCAACCACTCCAATATAATGTTTTCCAAGGTATTTTTCTGCAACTAGAAGATATTTTTGAACATCTCACTATGCTGAAAAAGTCATTATTTTTGTATCTTTAATTAATTATTTTAAAAGGATGATAAAAAGTACATTCTGCAGCACCTCTCTGTGTAGGATATCCTTACATTCACAGCTGTCTTTAGCGATATAGGATTGTTCCTTTTTTATGATAACATTAGGCTAAAAAGAAAATAGAATACACTTTTTTTGTACTGTGTATATGTCATCCTTTTCATTATCTTTTGTGCTACTTCAAATGGAAGAGGATGTGAGCATAATTGAAATGTGAGTTCAAGCACAGTTCAGAAGGTTTATGGTCCTGCTTTGCATTCCTAACACATTCAGCATCTGATCCAAAGTCCACTGAATTCAGTGGAAAGATTAATATTGTCTTCCAGAGGTTTTGGATCTGAAAGCTGAAGGCAATGAGAATCTTGGATGCATTAGGAATACTGAACTGAATCTAGAGATTTATCCTGATGCATGATGATTTCACTCTTGCCTATACTTCTTAAGTTCTTAGTTATAGGAGTTATGTACCTAATTCTTTGTGAATGCAGATGAGGCCACGCCTCTACTCACAGCATAACAAAGGAAGTAGTTTCTACATGAAATGTTGCAAATGAAGTGATAGCATGATGAGGCCAGATGTATAGAACATTGGAATCATTTTTTAGTTTTTATTTATTTATTTAGAGCACGTTATTTGGGTGCTAAAAAATTCAGAATTATCATATCATGGTGCTAAATACGGAGGGTGTGAGTCACTTGCTGTGAGTCAATAGGTACCTATCTGAAGCAAGATCATGAAAATAACTATAGCATGCTTTTGCTTGTTTACACATTAATTTTTCTTTTTCAGGAAACAAGACCCAAGATGTGATACTTTGAAAGTTTTTGTTCTTTGAAAAGTCACATCGGGCTAAAGTGCATTCTAAGATGCACTACTTAAATTTGCACTACAACCAGGAAATCGAACTAGGAGCTTCTGTAAAACAAAGAATGGTCCTGTAGCACCTTAGAGACTAGCCAAAAAATATAGATAGCTTTCGTGGGCACAGCACACTTCTTACACGGCTACCCTTCTGAGACTTAGGAGCTTCTGTGTATGTGAATACATGACTATGTGTTTTATCATAGGTACCATTTGGACACTTTTGTGTTAATTTTTAAGGGTGTATATCCTGTATAAGATTTGAGGAGATTCAAGCAAATGGCCTTTAAACAGAACTATATTTTTAGTGACATTTGCAAATACAGTTCATAAAGGATCATTTGTGTCCGTAATGTTTTTTAAATCAGTCTACAGTATGTATATTTTCAAACCATGGTTCAAACCATCATTACATTCCTATTGAAAGGCCCACTTACCACACACTATTTTTCAAGCATAAAATTAATTTTGTACATGATTATGATTATGCTATATTTGTGTAACAGATACAGAACAAGATTTGAAGACAGTTGTGGGGAATAAAACAATTAAGGGTTGTATTAAGGTTTCAGTAGTCAAAGCTAGGTTAAGCATGCAGGGAAGTACTACACCAAGCAGCAGTGGCCAGAACATAGAAACTGAGAAAATGCCCCTGGAGGGCGGATGGGAAACTACTCCTTTCTGGATAGGGGTCACATCCCTGCCCTGCCATATACACTTAAAACGGTCTACTCCTATTGTCAGTGTTAATGTGCTCTGGCACTCAGGAAACAAACACATAGATGATGTGTAGTACACTGTGCTATCTTGCACATCTGCCCTTGAGCAGCAACAATTTGGTCTTAAATAGGAATATGTGTATATATGGTCTAAAATATCACAGGAGCAGAACTTCAGTGATGAAAAACAAAACTAGAAAGTTATTAACTTTCATTTTCATGCACCACATTCTTCAGGAATTGTGAATTTCCCCTCTCTCTCTTTTCCTCCCCAAATCAGCTACATTCTTCTAAGAACTAGAATAGAGAACATTCTTCATTATGGGCTTGATCCAATACCTACTGAAATCCATAGAAAGACTTCCTCTGAGTTCAATAGGTTTTGGATCAGAGTAGTCCAAGTAATTATAGATGCATTATAAAAAAGTGACTCCGTGATAAATGTTTAAGACTGTGAACTATAATTACTCATGATTCCTACACGTGGTAGGAATCACAAAAAAGAATGCTCTGCTTTTTAAAATGGCTTTCCCATTGTTGGCTAATTTATTTATGGAATAGTTTTCTATTGTTTATCCATTTTCCTCAAAATTAATATCTCTTAACCACTTGTTAACATATTGTTTTGTGAATAAGATCTGCCTAGTGAAAAGTAACTGGCCTAATATTTTATTTAGCACATTTATCACATTATAGTGACATATTAGCCATAATTATTTTTGATGTGCAAGTTAAAAAAATCAGGGTAAGTATTGTTTACTTTTTAAATATAGGTTGGCAGAAAATGAGTTTTTAAGGAAAGTAATAAAGTAGTGGAAGGGAAAACTGCTGAGCATTACATAGCCTGCATTGCTGTCCCATGACATCATAAAAAACATGAAGTGATGATAATGCAGTTTGCAAAGATGCAATTACTTTAAGTATCTATTGGCCAGGAAAGAAGCAAACTAATCTTATTACTAACCATTTAACAACCTACGTATTAATCATAGTCATTATGCCGTAATGACTGATGTTTGCTGTCATTTTATGTTTGCTTTTTTAATTGCAATATATTTCTTTGGTATGGCATGGCATGTGACACTAAATTTAATTTTAATATCATATTTAAAAGCTATACGTATATTCAAATGGGAGAAATATTTAGATGTATAAAATATTTCCTAAGGTAAGAGAAACTAACAGGCAACAGATAATAAAACAAGAGAGTTGCTTTTAAATTCCAGAGATTTATTTAAAATGTCTCTGATGATAGTGTTTGTTCATTTGTATCGTTTATGATCTGATTTGCTGAAATACTACATTTTATGTGTGATGCTTAAAGAAGTTAGATGGTTAAAGATGCATATTATAGAGGAAAACAAAATGAATTAGAGATAAATTCAGTCTTTGTGTAAACTGACACAATTTCATTGACTTCAATGGATTGCTTGCATTATCTTTGAATTTAGCTCCTTGGAGTTTTAATCAAGATATTTTTGAAGTGATGGCATCCATTGCTTGTAATTATATGTTTTTTATGATTGTTCGGTTTACATGACACTTTGAAACTGTATATAAAACAGTTCGGAAGGTTAAAAAAGGCTAGTAACCTAGCCTAGGAAAAATACCATACTGTATCTTTGGGGTTTTTTTATATTGGTAAAACTTTGAAGTAGGAATAAGAGATCCTCCGGAAGAGGGCTTTATTCCGGAGGATCGGGCCAGTCTAGACGCTTTTTTCTGGCTTTTCCCAAAGCCGGAAAAAAAGCGGTGGCAATGTTTATTTAAATCCCGCAAGGGATATTTAAATCCCCCGCGGATTTCCCTATTCCCACTTTCAAAATTAGCATGCCCCTTCTGAAGAAGGGGCCAGTGTAGACGTAGCCAGGGATTTTTTTGATGCTTGGTACAATC